CCTTTCTTGGGTCAAAAAGCTGCCGATGGTTTGATGCGCCATGATTATTATGCTTCGACGAGTCAGTGCGTGTTCGTGGGGCATACAAGCTCCCTGCAGACTCAGACGATGCTGCCTCAGGCTCAACAGGATGGCGCATCGGGCACAGGATCCTTGTCTCGGCGGCCATTACTGTGTTCTTGTTGAGGCCTAGCACAGCTGCCGCAGTGCTCCCATTGGGACTAGCTTGTCTCGGCTACACTCCGGCGCATGATGGCAACCTCCACCCAAACGATCGCAATATCCACAAGGTCAGTTTCCACTTTCTCCCACATATGGACAGCATTCCCGATCTTTCTGATTTTTGGTGTCTAGCACAGGGTCCTTGTCTCGGCAGTGCTGTAGTGCTCCCATTGGGGACTAGCACCTGTCTCAGCTGCCATTGCTGCACTCCCGCATTATTGAGGATGTGGCGGTGTTCTCCAACCAAACACTTTGTCTATCCTGGAGATTGACGGGTAATTGCTCCTAGTTGCACGATCACATTCTGTCACCTATGGACACCATTCCCGATCTCTCTGATTTTCAGTCTCTTTTAGGGTCTAGACGTGTCTCAGTAGCCGTCGCTGCGCTTCCACGTTGTTAATAACACTACAATCTCTCCAGCGGCATACAACTTGAACATTCATGGCAGACCTCACTGAGGTATGACGCACCATAAAGACGCGCGACCCAGATTGGGCTTGGTCTGGGCCTTACAGATGCCATCATCGAAGAAGGTTTATATGTCACTGTATCTTGTCCAATGCACCGATGCTCTGGCTTGAGGAAGTATAGATATGTAATAGTCTAATTACTGTACTGCAGTTTTTCAATAAATGCCGTTGTTGACCTTCTCCCGTCTGTAATGAATGGAGCAGTGTAACAGGTACGATGCATCAGGGTTGGTCCCTTTAGTTCAGTGTGTCCATGTTTGTTGATCTGTGGTTGAACAAGTTTTTCTGACGTCACGAGTCCAACAGGAATCTGGTACTCTCACCATGGATCCATCTAGTCAACCACGCACTTCATTTCCATGTCCGAGCTGTCCTCTGGTTTGCAAGTCGGGTCGTGGACTTGTTCAACACCAACAGACTATCCATCGACAATTTACACCTGACGATGATGCCGACAGCCAGTCGTTTACTACAAAACTCCATCCCTTTTTAAATGGTACAGTACATTCTCATCGTCTATTATAGTATCTGGCTAACATTGTTCTTCAAAGCTATTCCCTGTGACCGGAACGGCAACTATCTTCCCCCATTTTCTCCTCCTCCCCTACCTGAAGACGACCCAGCACCAAATTCTTGGTGGCCGTATGAATCTAGGGCAGAATTTGACTTTTCCTATTATCATTTCGTTGAGGCTCAGAGTTCAGCTTCCGAAATTGATAAAGTTCTCGATATTTGGGCTGCTATTGTGATGAAGTACGGAGGCGAAGCCCCATGGACAAATGCTGCCAGCTTTTACCAGACCATCGATGCTATTTGGCACGGTGATTCCCCATGGAAGACCTACTACATTCAATATCAAGGCCCACGACCGCCTGGTATCCCTCCAAAATGGATGACGGAGAAGTATGTGCTCTGCGCAAGAGACTCATGACAAGTATTACAACAACCAATTGGCCACCACACAGTTCAAGGGTAAAATCAACCTCGTTCCATATCGCCAGTTTGATGGCAAGAAGCAGCGGGTGTGGTCGAATCTAATGTCGGCCGATTGGGCATGGTCTCAGGCGGTTTGTACCGCATTCACCAATGCTAAACTAAACTGACAATATTTGATTTGTAGGACACAATTGTGGAGAAGGTAGCCAATCATGGTGCAATGTTTGTCCCTGTCATTGCTGGCAGCAACAAAACCACGGTCTCAGTGGCAACGGGACACCAGGAATATCACCCAGTCTATATGTCGATCGGAAATCTCACAAACATCGTTCGATGTTCTCATGGAAATTCAGTACTTCCTGTCGCGTTCCTCCCTATCCCCAAAAGTAAGCTTCTCTGATGTTTTTCTACTCCTGCTAACGTCGCTTGCAGCTTCTAAAAACCAGCGGAAGACCGCCAACTATCAAACATTCTGTCGGCAAATGTATCACACCTGCCTCGCTCGCGTATTTAACCCTCTGAAGGATGGAATGACGACCCCAGAAGTGGTCAGATGTCCAGATGGGCACTTCCGACTTGCTGTATATGGCCTTGGGCCATACATTGCCGACTATCCAGAGCAAGTCTGGCTTTCTGGCATCATCCAAGGGTGGTGCCCAAAGTAAGTCGTCCAGTACCGCTTTTATCCAAATTCTCAGAAATTTGTAGATGTAACGCTCATCCTGAGAATCTGGATGGATCTGGCACACATCGGCGAACGAAAGTAATTACCAACTACATTATTGGCACCTGGAATCCCAGCATTGTTTGGACTGATTTTGGTTTGCGAGCGGACATTTTGGTAGGTTTGAACTTCTAGAATTTGCATCGGTCTCTTGATTCTAATTTATAGCCCTTCACACATGAATTCCCACGCGCCGATATTCATGAGCTCATCACCCCTGACTTACTTCATCAAGTCATCAAAGGGAGAGCTGTATTCACAAGAAAAGTCAAAGTCATAAGTAGTTACAACGCATTCCTGTTCCTGGAAGTCACGAAAGCAAGGGGCCCTTTGACTTTACTATAAAAACTTAGATACCACCAAAAAAGGTAATGGTCCCTAGAACTATTATAGGGTTTCACATTGGTTAGCATATGTTATGTTTTTTTATATGTTTTTTACATTAAAGTTATATGAATGTTTTTTACATGTTTTTTATATGTTTTTTGTTATGTTTTTACATGTTTTTTATAAGTTTTTTGTTATGTTTTTACATGTTTTTTATATGTTTTTTATAATGTTTTTATATGTTTTTAATAAGTTTTTTACATGTTTTTTTTACATTTTTTATATATTTTTTATAAGGGTTTTTAAATAACCCCCAACCCCATGCCTAGTACAGCAACAGGCTTATTATAGACATTTAGGTAGATATATATACTTCCCTAAACTCTAATCCCTAAACCTTAATAACCTAACCTAAATCTAACCCTAAGAGCCCTAAACTCTATACCCTAAACCTTAAAAAACCTAACCCTAAAAAACCTAACCCTATGCCACTGTATGGGACACACAGTACCTTGGAAAGAATGCTCCATATCTTTATATATAATTATTTTAATTGTATATATAGTGTATTATTGAAAAGCCATAATCAATAGCTTTCCAACAACCCTATTTATACATCTATAGGGTGTCTGATTCTTGAGATATGATCAAAACAACCTTTATAGGATGCCATTTAGTATATATATAAAGAAAGGTTCTATATTATGTTGGCCCACTTAGCTCAGTTGGTAATGCACTGTCGGGACTTGTCATTTACAGGACTTGGGTTCAATTCCCTGTGTAGGACTTAATTATATAAATAAGATTAGATTTAAAGTAAGATTAGATTTAAAGTAAGATTAGATTTAAAGTAAAATTAGATTTAAAGTAAGATTAGATTTAAAGTAAGATTAGATTATAATGATAAGATAAGATAAAAATCTGTAAACTAAATTGAAAAGATCAGATAAGGATTTGAATTTTTATTTTTATCTATATTTTCTTTCTTTAAAAACATATAAAAAACATATAAAAAAACATACAAAAAAACTTATAAAAAAACATACAAAAAACATATAAAAAACATATCCTACACTATAATAACCTAAGCATAGGGTTAGAACATTATTACATTATTTACGACTGTGCCTTATCTCTTTACCACTTAAGGAAAGTGATAGTCAAAAAAGCCCTTGCTTTCGTGACTTCCAGGAACAGAAGTGCGTTGTAACTACAACGTTTTGATTTGACTTTTCTTGTGAATACTACTGAAAGGGACGTTCAAGGACCATCTCGTCACATGGGTTACCGAGTATCTGTATGAAGAGCATGGGGAAACAGAAGCAAATGCCATCTTTGGGGATATTGATTGTCGGTACATGGTTTTTTCTGGTTTCCTGTAAGATTCCAGGTTTTGCTCACTATCATCTCAAGAATATCTGCAGTGCCTGCTTTTCCAGGATTACGACGCTTCCCAGATGGCCATGACTTTGCGCAGTGGACTGGTGATGACTCAAAAGCGCTTATGAAGGTAAACCCTATTTTCCACATTAACAGTGGGTATTAACCCAACACATTTCAGGTCTACCTTGCAGCGATCGTCGGTTATGTACCATCTGCGATGGTGAAGACGCTTTCAGCCTTCCTTGACTTCTGCTATATCGCCCGCCGTAATGCTCTCACTGTTGATGCCCTTGAGGAACTCAAAACTGCCTTGGACCGCTTTCATTTTCACCAAGATGTGTTTGTAGACACTGCGGGTGTTAGTGGGGAGCGCATTTCCCTCCCACGACAACACTCCATCATGCACTATTGCTGCTCTATCCAACTTTTTGGCTCACCACAATAGTATCCGCAAAGAAAATCAAAGTCAAACATTATTGTTACAACATGCTGCTTATCACCAAATTAAGGGCTTTTTTGACTTTCCTTGGCTTAAAGTGGATAGTGAAAGTCTAATATTAAATACCTATTAAAACATAATAAAATATGGTTAAACCTACGTTAAGGTTATAGATATGTTTTTTCGGAAATTTCCAATGTTTTTGTGTATGTTTTTTGGAGATTATATAAGCTTCGATATATGTTTTTTTGACAAATTACATAAGCTTTTATGTCTATTTTTTTCACACAAAAAGATATATTTTATAAATATATAAATTATATCATAACTTATAAATAGATTAGATTAGATTAGATCTCTATATATATTTGATTAGATTAGATCTTTATATCTAATTACTAATCTTATCTTATCTATTTGAGATTAGATTATTTATATTATTTACTTTATTTATCTTATCTACAAGAGATCTTATTATATTTCATATTATATAAAATGCCCATGCTCAGAATTGAACCCAGGACCCCTAAATGAACTAAGTTAGTGAAGTAGTGCTCTAGCCAACTGAGCTAACAGACCTTAATAGTATATAAGACCTTTTCCATAGTCATTGTGAAAGGTGTACAGTATGACTTGGTAAAAATTTTACAAAATTTTCGAAAATGTTAAGCATTATTTTGATCATATCTTATGAACAAGGCACTCTATAGCTATGTAAATAGAGTCATTTGAAAGCTATTAATCATGGGTTTCTAATGATAGATTATGTAATGCATTTATATAATATTATTCAAAGTTATTGAGCATTTGTTAGATATATAATTGATGTGCCACCTATGTGGTAGAATATACAGATATGCACTCAGCAGTGACTTAGAGCCAAGAGCTTGACATAGTGGACTAGTGGTCCAACAGACTGCCCAACAGGCTGGTAGTATGGCAACATATGGGTCTGCCATCCAATCCAACCACTTTCAACTTCCAGCAACTGCTCACCCTTACTGACTGGTCAAATTACCCCAAAATTTGGTAGTAATGTTAAGCATTGGTGGTGTGATGGATCCCTAGTGAATCAGAGTGCAGTGCCACCCACATCTCTAGAAATTACACCAAAACTGACTTAGGCCATCATATCACTCTCAAGGTGCATAGGCATTTTAGCCTCAAACAAATACCACATTTCCAACAAAGTCTAGTGCTGCCAGGTCACCCCTGCCATGTAGGACAACATTTAATGTTGTGTCATGTTGCAAGGCATAGGAGTGAGTGTACTAGAGATTGGGCAATAGCTGCCAATCAGCCAATTAAAAGTGTACTGTACTTGGTAGGAATAACATTATACTAATGTTATTTACTATTTAAACAATACATTACAGTATATTAAAGTCAACAAAAGGGGGAGGAAATATCTAGAAAATGCATACATAGGTAGATGTATCATTGAAAGGGGGCAAAGAGGGAGAGATAGTACCTATAGTCACAAGGACCACTAGTGTAAGCAATAGACAGAGATATATACTGATACTACATTATATCTATACACTATAACTGTAGTCCAAACAAGACTGTCTATGTATATCAATATAAGGCTATATAACTATAATCAATTAATCACAATAGGGCTTTTCAAGCTACTTCTACCATTAATCACTATAGCTTTTACCATTAATCCCCTTAGCTATTGCACTACTGTAATGTAGTGGTGTGCCACTAAAAGACATACTGTAGCACATCAATGTATTAATATGAGTTGTGTTTTTCTTTTTCTTTCTATATACATAGGGTATGAACTATTTGTATCACACATACTGTGGTTGCTTTATTATATGCCTACACGTATATACAACTGTCTTATTAGTACTGTATGGCTTTGACTATTTTTAGGTAGTATATAATGTTGACTGTGAGTCCAGATAAAAGGCTGCTGTCACAGTACAGTATTATACACTTAAGCAACTAGAGTCCTGTCTTAATAAGGATTTAAAAAATGTTTGATCTAATATTATTAGTATAGGGCTAATATTGCAATAGCTTTATATCTATAATTTAAATGGATTTTATCTTATCTTATTATCTTATTATTAACATAGTCTTATTCAAACCATACTGTAATTTAGATTTTATATTATAGTTTTAATTTTATTATAAATTAGATCTTATCATAATTTAAATCTTGTTTATTTTATCTCTATTTTAATTTTATTATATTTTAATTTCAATCTAATTTTATTTCTATTTTAATTTTATTTTAATTCAATTTTTATTTAATTTAATTCCAATTTTAATCTTGTTTTATTCCAATTTTAATCTTATCTTTTTCAGTTTTGATCTTATCTTATTTCAATTTCAATCTTATCTTAACTCTATTTTAATCTTATTTTATTTTAATCTCAATCTTATCTTGACTCTATTTTAATCTTATTTTATTTTAATTTTAATCTTATCTTATTCTAATTTTAATCTTATCTTATTTTTATTCTAATCTTATCTTATTTCAATTTTAATCTTATTTCAATTTTAATCTTATTTCAGTTTTAATCTTATTTTATTCCTATTTTAATCTTATCTCATTTCAATTTTAATCTTATCTTTTCTTCTTATATAGATCTGAACTATTACTCTTTTGGCAGTTCCCATCATATTAATTACTGACATTATTATAGTACCAATTAAAAACTCTTTTACATATACAGAAAGTCAAAAGTTGCCCTATAATTATAGGCAAAGTCAAAGCCCTTAATTTGGTGATAAGCAGCATGTTGTAATATCAACTGAAAATGATTTTCTTTGCAGATACAGCTCCTCACCAAACTGACTTTGTTCATCAATCACTGAATCTAAACACATCAAGGCAGTCAAGGAGCTGTGGAGACGTTCAAGCCATTACAAGGCCCTCAAACAGATGTTGGTGACGATTTCGCGATTGGAGAAGCTTTCTTCGGCACGCCGAGTCTTTTCCCGGGTTGGTATGATGGAGGGCATGACGTCATCATACATGGCGATGATTCTCCGTGGTGAACTCCCTCAGCCAAGGGCAAATGATGATGGTGACAACAAAGACGATGACACTGGCCCTGTCCACGGGCCCAAAACCCTGTCCTCTATCGAGCTTGCTCACAAAGCTGGTTTGTTTCTTTTCGGTGTAGCTGTTTCGGAACATTACTTATACATAATCTTCTCCTAGTACGAGGGTACCCGCAGGCTGTTGACTATCTTGCAGCCTATATCAATCAACCACAATTTCCACAGCTCCTTCGGCACTTCCTCTAAGAACAGCTTAACCCTAACCCGGACGTTCCAGACGTCGACATCAACGATTGCCCTTACTTTGGTGGGCCAATCAGTGTTTACCATTCTGCGACTGTGTGTTTCTATGTGCCCAGTGATCTTTGTGGGGCTGGTGATATACCGGGAACGCATCCGCTTAAACCCAAACTGGCGTGGAGAATACGCTCGACGTGATATGATGTTTGTTGAAACCAATGCCAGGCTTGATGGAATGCCGGGCATGACAATTGCCCACGCTCTTCTCTTTTTTTCATTTACATTCGAAAACAGATATTATCCGTGTGCACTCATCAATTGGCTTGTGCCTGGTGATGAGCCCGATGAGGACACTGGGTTGTGGGTTGTGCAACCAGAGTTTGAGGGCAATGGACAACACCGCACACTCTCGATCATTCATTTGGATTGTGTGGCGTGCGCTGCACATCTTCTGCCTATCTATGGCTCATCTCCCATTCCCGAGGACTTTCACTTCTCTGACGCACTTGATGCGTTTCGTGCTTACTTTGTCAACCGATTCGTTGATCACCATACCCATAATTTCATCTAGTAGTTGTCTTATCATATAGATCTTTGGCAATAGATCTTTGGCAATGTTATAAAATAGTGCTTTGCGATAAACTTAATCCAAAAAAGGAAATGGGTAGACATATTTGTCAGAAATAGGTATTTTTATCAATTAATTCTTTAAAATAAATTCTAGCTTGTTGACTTGTCAACCTTTTTCAGCTTGTTGGCTGGCTGATCAGCTAAAAAGCACTAAAATGGGCCCTAAAGTTGGCAAGCAAAGTGCCTTCTTGCTGATGATGGATTAATTGCCTAGGTCAGTCAGTTACATCCCTGTCTGGTCGGTGAAACACTCACTGGTTGCAGCAGCCTCAAGCGCAGCACTATCAGATATGCCGAGTCCCATCTCGTCTTCACGTCCCTTACCGGCTCAACTACTGGAACTTTAACCGTTTGCATCTCCCTGCCAACGACCCTATTGAATAACCCAACTTCGTTTCCTCTTTTGATAAATTTTCGAAAACCAAGTTTTCGCTTGTCTGAAGACTGTAGGAAAAGAACAAGTTTTCGAGCACGTTTGAGGGCATCACCTCTCACACGGTTTTTGTTTTCAAAGCCTGGTGTGTCGTCTTCATCGCTGTCTAGCCTCAGCTCATCAAAGCCAGACTCGGAATCTGGAATGGCCTTGTCCCAACCATTGGAGTCTTCGAAGTCGTGAGTTGATGAATCAGAGACCAAGTTGGAAGTTGAAGAAAGTGAGGAAACAATATGAGACGAGCAGATGTTAATTATGTGAGCATAGCATTGGACGCGGTTCTTCTCAGCATTGAATTTGGCTATGTCAATGCCTGTCGTCTTGTTTTGTTCTTTGAGCATAGCCCCCAGCTCTCGCATCGCGACAGCGTTATTCTCAGCATTGTCCAGTGTGTCACGAACCATGACTCCGGAACCTCGGGGGCACATGACCGTGGGAAGGTCACATGACCAAACCGGGTCTGACCTGTCACGTGACCCGCCACGTGACCAGTCACGTGATCAGGCGCCTAAGCCTGCATCTAACCAGTCATGTGACAAGGAACAAGAACATGACCTGATGCACGCTTACTTCTGTAGACGTAATCTCTGTTACGTCCACGACAGATACTAGGACTCGACAAACGACTAAGTCGAGTGAGATTGGATCTGCATTAACCCCTACAAGGGTAAATGCGACTCAGTCTTAATCGAGAAGACAATGTACCCTTATGGGGATTTCCGATACCCAAAGGGGTTCTCGGGTAAGAGAGAGTTGTGCCACTGGCTAGAAGGTTGTAGAACATTACAGAATGCCCCTGCTACGCAGCACGTCATCTTGACTATGCATTGCGTCATTCGCGCACAGACCTCTTAGTAACAGAGTTCAAACCTACGCACAGACCATGTCCTAGATGTATATAAACCCCCATGCAATCCGATGACAGTCCTCAGACTGTCCACTTTGTACCATTTCCTCAGAAGCGAGCCTTGCTAAAGATACCTGCTTGGCAGTTGGCGTTGGGCATCATTGATCCCTTTCGAATACTACTTCTAGTCCTAGTCCTCCACTTATTGGCAATTGTTGCCAATCTCCTTGTCTTCGTCTACCGCCTTCAGAACCCTTGTCCTCGTCACGCATAAGACTCGCTGCTGCGCGTAATAAGCAGTGAGTCTTAACACTTGGACAGTCTCCCATAGTCTGACCGCGGTCTCAAGTGTCTGAAGTTTACGACTTCTCCCTGGACGAGTCTCCCGAGTATTTTGACTACGA